AGAACATCAAGATTTGAATCTCATGAAATAGTTCCCTCAAATTTATTAGAATGTCATTGCAGAGTAAAGGATCATTAGAAAAATCAGCATCTATCAAAACTACATCAGGTTTTCGATCATGACTAGGTTCATTCAACATATTTTCCTCAGATTTGCAAGGGATTTCGTCAGAAATAAGTTAATCATTAGGAAAAACCATATCTGGTACAATAACATGAGAAATCTGATAAGTCGATTGATTAAAAACTGTTGTCTCGCAAGAATTCTGAGTTTCATTTAACTCTGAACTGTCATAAGACTCTACACTGTCTTTTGAAATCGTTGATAAAGATAAATGATCATTATAACTCAATATAATAGAATCAGAATTACAAGACTTAATATTAGTTGCAGCAAGATGAACCGTAGTATTACAAACTGACTGAATATGTCAAATATCACTACATTTAAAGCACTTAAAATTACGAAATTTACATGAATTAAAAGAGTGGAACCCGACACAGAACAAACATTGACCAAACTTGTGTCCATCTTCGTGGACTGCATCGCAACTCTTCAATCAATTATCTGCATAACGTTGAGTATACACTGGGTTGGGATGACGTAATGTAGTTGAATTTTTTACATCCTCATGAATCACCTTACGAAATCTTCTTTCTTTACCACATTTGAAATTTTTATACTTAACATAGTCTAGCAATAGTTGCTTGAGAGCTATATAAGGAAGCGAAATGGGATTTCCCGGTAAAGCCAGAGTTTTTAATAAGCTGCATACTTCTTTTCCGATGAATGTGCTACAATATTACTATTCTCATCATCTTCCTTGGTCATAGCCCAGATTTCGAACCTTTCAAGGTAATCCTCAAAAGCATCAAAATCGGAATATATATCCAACCGTTCCATCACAGACTACATCGCGACGCCAATATGATAATTAGGAGTATTTGAATTATAGCATGAACCAAGAATCCCAGAAACAACGTAATCGGATCACGAAGAATTAGATAAGCATAAACGAATGTACTGTATTTAGAATTCGAAATCAAGCATTCAACAGGTAAAAAGGAATCATTAGTTCATTCAAACACCACACTATTTCTCAACCAAAGGACAAATATACTGCTCAGTAGTTCAACATTTTTGTTCATAAAAATTGACTACGTCGTCTATCGGCTTGTCATTCTTACATAGTACTCTGCATCGAACCTCAGAGTTGCTAATTTGATGGTCCTAATATATATGAGCTGTGTTCTTAAAGCATTTGTGACCATCATAAAGGAAAACGTCGAACTACTGAGCAGTATATTCGTCTTTTGGTTGAGATATAGCCACGTCATCTACCCCACAACTGACTTAAATTGTCATAACTCAGCTGAGTTCTCTTAATCTGTTTCACACTATATCTTGAAGGCTGATGGGACTGTAAACACTTTTATCCGTGTTTTCGCCGTATAAACAGATGTAAATGTCTGATAATCTGATTGAAGCTGTTATTAGACTAAGATCGATATTTCGTGAGACTAGCTGACTTTTGTCGTACACTCGGAAATTCATCGCTGAAAAAATAGGAATTCTTATTCTTGCATAAATCTAGGAAGTAAGGTCATTTGAACTCGTGCTCGGATATTTTTGTTGTTGCAGTTAGATGCCAGTTGATTTATCGTTTTACCTACCTACGCCCGGCCGCTAAGACATGTGTATTGGTCTATGAAACCAACTATTTCACTACCTGTTCTTATTTTGAGTCTTGACACTTATGAAAAGAGAAATGTAATTAAAACGTACGTGCTTCTTAAGAGAGTTCGAGTGACCGCCTTTTGGTAACGTCATCATTAAGCAAAAAATTACACTGATCGTAATGTAGGGTTTCTTTTATCTATACTCCTTATCAATAACAAATCAACTAAATCCTGGTGACTTATTCTGTAAATAATATTCTATTGTTAATTTATCCCGAAACAGCGATCTGTCTTGTGGTTATTTAGATTATCTGACTACCATAACCGGTCTAACAGAAAGATCAGTTCTAAGCAAAGGATGATTTGTTATGGAGGTTTTGACCTTATAGTGTCGTGAATTCTGACTGGTCAAGTCATTAGTTTTTTATTCTCTCGCCTACTCATACCAAATTTTGATAACCTCAAATCTTGGACTAAAAGACATAGTCCTTTTAAACGTTGGTCGAATTGAGTAATATATAAACTTCTTAATACAGGGAAGCTTGTTAGCACAAAACTCCTAACTATCTAACATCTGTCCAAATGATTAATCAGTACCGTATTTGCTGACCTATAGCCTGTCTACGGATACTGTCGATTCCAAGCCTGTACGAAAGAGGAAGGCTGGATATGAGGTCAGCAATCTCATCACGTAGAAAATAACCCTGACCAAAAATTCATTTAAACCATTTAAATTCTGCCCTGATAATCAAAGGATCTTCATTTAGAAGAACTATTACTTTTCAAAATGAAAGTCAAAAAGCAATGGTAACGAGAAGAGACAACTTGGAGGTTATCAGAATAAGCAAAACTCATTCCATTCAGTCTGGACAGAAAATATTAGCTTCTATAGAGGTGCTGTTGTACTCAGGTCATTATGTGGAAGGAAATATCTTGCACACACAAAGAGTTGCAAAATCACTACCCAAAGAAGCATGAAAATCACTTAAAGGATGAGAATCTCATGGATCCAGTGTCATCCAAGTACTTTTCAGAACAAAGGAGAAGATTGTAATGAATGCTATCCAATACTATGCGCCCACCAATGATAGAAACGGAGACAATGAACGTCACTTTTGTGAGTAGTTGCAATCGATCATATGAAAAGTGGTTAAGAAAAAACAACCGGAGGAACAGCATTACAAAGTCTGATAGATATTATTTACAAGTAAGCATTCATGTACCTGCATTATTGACAGAATTTGTATATGCACTCAATATTCGAGAAAACAATGTTTAAATGTATAGCACTTGGGAGTTTCATTTGACCGGAAGACCCACAAAATTTTGACTTGTTTCCACTATTATATGTAAACATACAACGAATACATTTGAACCAATTAACGTAGTTTTTTTGGAAAGACCACATTAGCGTTTATCTAATTATTGACGACCCTTTTCCCAAATAAATTCTGTATTTTAAGTAGCTTGATGGAATTTTGTAGAATAACATTAAACATAAGGAATCATGAACACACTAACAAACCTTTTATTTGTAAGACTCGTAACGATGAGTTGACGACCAGCAAATCACTCTTGGAAGTTCCCTAATGGTACAAGAAATCTCTATGATAAATTCTAGCGTTCACATCATGAAATAACAGTAGCAACTTTTCATACCGAAGTAAAAGTGGAATGCGGTAAGTACTTATACAATGACCGTCCACATATTTGTGAGTAAAACTTTAACAACTTATAAGTGTTAGTTGTTATCAAAAGTATTTGCTACAGTGATGTTTCCCAACACTTAGAGTCTAAGTGTAAATTGCATGATGATACGATCTAACCGACAACAACTACTTGACTTAATATAAGGGGTCGTACCGTGAATTTATTTCTGAGCTGTCGGCTAACAGAACTTGTATATCGCTATAACTTGAAGCCTACATCTGATAAATGCAAATTTTCAAAGTTTATGAGGAGGTTGAAGCCCAATAGTGCGTTGTGGATAGGTCCATATTTCTTCTAAATGGTATTCATCACATGATCCAGTAACCTTCAAGATGCTTGTTGGTGAGAAGCATTGTCTTGAATCTCGAAGACAGACGACTTTAGCACAGTAGAAATCTTTTAAAAATAAGTAGTCTGATAATAATAGGCTTAAAGATGCTAAACCATGGTGAGGGATGAGATTTATACAGGAATGACATAGATAGCTAGGAAAGTTTCTAAAGTAGTACCACAAAAACGCAACTAACTCCACCATTTGTATAATGAAAAACTTGTCTCTACTTTTAACGCGATATAATTAGGGAATCTTGTTGTCAGTGACTTAACAACCACCTTGAAATTTCATCAAATACGGAAATTACTACCAACATTTGAGTCAACATAAAGTTGGGCTCACCGAGTATACACTGCTTGTGTTGAACATCGTTTGGACTATACTCTGATTCTCTATAATTGATCGTGTATCTGGTATAACACGATCCAGTCTGTATGTAGCCTATCGACCGAGTATCTAGTTTGGTGACAGTATAATTTTAGTTGTCAGGCGCGTTGTAGTATGTCATGCCAAATATAAAGTATTTTTATTCTCCCGTTATATTGGAGAAATTACTACAAACAGAATGAATATAACTGAGTGGGCAATAACTCTTTGTATTACATTTGACAAATCGTCACCATCGTCAAAAACATGTCAACATTGCAGAGGAATAATTCAAAATAATAACATTATCTTTGTGAACAGGTTTGTCTGTTTATCGACCATCAGTATCACACGTAAAGCATCCTCACCACCATTTCCACATCAAATATATGCTGCTACGTAGATTAGTAAAAATAGCTATAGTTGATCACGCTGTACATCTTTGTTTTATTTCACCACATTTAGCTGGATGTTATTAAGTTAATATTCAAAATCACCTTCCAGTTTATTCTGATATTAACTTAGACCTTCGGGAACATGTTACTATTGACCAGTGATCCGCAAATTAAGACCTTAGATACTTAGTAAACTTTTGGATTTAGGTTAACTAAATTATTTTGTTTTCTCAATAATTAAGAAAAAAATCACAGAATCTACATGCGTATCTCAAAAACATATAGCCATTAATGTTACCAGGGACTACTTGCTGATAAAACAAGTTATGATCTACCCGAACAGTATAACACTAGCAACCGATTGCATTCAAATGTTTTGCCGTTATTGGAGTATTAACTATAGGGCCACTTACATAACCAATAGTGAGATGATAATAATGGAACATCTGATACAATTATGTAATATGTATATTGTTTAAATGAATGTAGGAGAAAACTCTCTATCTTAGAAAGAGGGTTGATCACAAACCAGGTAAAAATAATTTTTTACAGATTGCCTGTAACATACGCACAATATTTTTTACCTCTTTCATTTACAACTTAATCCATAAAGCAGTAGTTCAAAGATAATAAGAAACACTAAATCCGGAGCTCTAGCTATTATAAAGAACCAGATAGATACACAATTTGTTCAACAGATTATTTACTGGGTTTTTTATCCGATACCAAAAAAGTTCACTACTCTTAAGCATATAGAAAAGTAATGAAGTTAAATCCCCTGAACCAATGTGACAGTCTCAAGAAATAAAATGCCTCAACTAAACACAACCCATAGAATTACTTATTCGATGTATTTTCATTTTAAAAATTGGACGTAAATAGAATCAGAACGATATGTGTTCTTCTTACCATCATAATAATTGTAGCTTATTTTGTTAAAATATCAGTAATAAATTCTCAAAAACTATCACATAAAAGGGACAATGTTCCAATCACTATAAAATACATCTGTGCACTGTAAATTAAAAGTTAAAACACCGTTTTAAGATTTAGACATCAACTCCAAGTGATTTTAACGCTTGCTTCAAGTATTTCACGGTTGTTTCTCTATCCTGATAATTTGATGCACTCAATGCACATTTGATATTTTTTTCTACGTTCAACCAATTTCTTGTTGTAATATTATTATCAGATGCAGATGGATCAGGACTAGGCGGTTGTTCAGGTATGCAAGTGGTGGGGACTTCATGAGGTTGTTGATTTGTTTCATTGTTGCAGAGATTGTTTGCATTTATTAGTCCAGAAATATCTACACAAGTAAAATTATTTCAAATGAAAACTTTAAATGTTATGAAACTAACAGCCGTACTGCCTAAGCAGAATTTTGTGAAAGGTTAAATTACCACCTAATTCTCCAAATAAAAGCAAATACAATCCCATAATTATTTACTATTCTAGCTATACGCCAATATATCCAAACTAACGAAAAATAGCTTGAGTAGTATGTTTACTTCTAATCCTACCTTCAATCATATCACATTGCACTAAACACTTTCAAAAATGTAAGCATTTATTGTATTAGAAATTGCACTGCTATCCTGAAGTTTAATTACTGATCAATATGTACAAGTTGGAAACACTATTATTATTATTTTGTTAACTTTTTCTGAGAACAGGGTAATGTTATCTTCATATCCAAAAGATTATGGTTGACAAGCCTCTCAGAGATTACAGCGATCATCACAACTTTCCGACATAAATGCTTCACAGAGGTAAAAAGCCTATCTAAACCTTAAAACATTTTGTCACTACAACAACAATCTTTAACAATTTTCGTAAATGACCAAACAGTGAAAAAATTAATTAAATATCCAGAACTTTCTTCTTGTATGTACCGTTATGAATTCTCTTATTGACTATATATAAATGTTCAATAATCCCAGTCTAAGAACTTAATCGAATGAAAAGTTAATTAGTTCCAAATAGCTTGCATTATCGTCTTAACAGTACGGCAGATAAATAAGAAATGAACACCCTGATAATAAAAAAAAGTGAAGTAAGACAGAGCGGTTATTTCAGGATTGTAGTCTAGACTAGTTTAAATAAGGGTAATCAGCCTTCTACCAATACTAACATTAAATAAAATCAGTAATTATCTCACTAAGAAATTAGAAAATGACGATGAAAGTGGATAGGGCATACATTGAGGAAATTATCAAACTGCATCACAAGGCAAGCGCCAACTCGGAATCCTGAAGGAAAACAGAAAAGAGGAAGACAAAGGAACACACTGTGTCGAGAATTGGAAGTGAGAAGGATGAATAGCAAACGGAAAGAATTTCCCAGGACAGAGGTGGATGGAGAATGCTGGTGGGCGGCCTATGCTACTCCACGAAAGGTAACAGACGTAAGTAAGTCACAAGCAAATTAGAAAGTAATGGATACAGAAAGCAAACATATCTACATACTAATAAATCACTTTATCGTACATTCGTTATGTATGTAGTATAACTAATATAATCTCACTACTTAAAATTAATACTTTTCACTAGTTGGCCTCGTCACGTGAGGGTAATGTTTTACTCTTTTATAACCTTCTTATATCCTTTAGGACAAAGCATATTGCAGGAGGTTATACTCCTGTCCCAATACAAAAAATGTGTCATTAGTGATATGCTTAACGAAGAAGATAATGAGTTCTTATATTCGAACTAGGTGTAAGTACAGAACATATCTGAGCCATCAAGTAACATTTAATAGGTGAGAAACGAGAACTAAGATGTTTAGAAAACATTTTACTAAGAAAATATCTACTTAATATATTTAGGGGTTCCGACTTAATAGCAATTCCGTATGCGACACCAACCTTCCAAGATTAGTGAGCCAAAAAGCTATTTCCAGGGGAATGTTTTAAAAGTTGAATAGATATAGAGAAAGTATATGAATCGGATAAGCAGAATCATCACAGTGAATATGGTAATCAACTTTCCAATCGTTATCGCACAAATATAAACGTTAAAGTCTTCAAAAATTGATATCCATATTTTAATAAGATAATAATATTATTTACAGAGCAGTGAAACAATTACATACAACCCTATTGTTCGTTAAATATATTGATAACAGCATTATTCAACTTTGCTTAAAGCATAGTCAGTCAGTAACAACGTAGAACTTCGTACGTACGTAAAGCATAAGTTGATGAATTTTAAAGTCTACATGATCAGTGAAAAAATATTCAAACTAAAATACCATAAATCGAACATGACTGAATCAGTTTAAGTAAACTAGAGGTGTATTAATGTTACACATCAATGTGAATTATGAAGAAAGTATCGTCAAGAGGATTTATGAAGAAGGGAACTTATCATGAACTGATGTTAGTCTACTAAACCATAACTTTGTGTTGATTAACAAGTAGCTTCGAGATGGATTCTCAGACGTCATGATGTGGGACTGTGATCTATGAGGTCAACTGAATTATGAAAAAACAGAGACTCCCTGATGATATTAGATGAGGACTGAGCTATTGTACAAATTGATTGAACATGAAAATATAAACCAATGAATTATGGTTCCCCATTTTGCCGTGAAGCCTCATAGTTAAGGGACAGATGTAGAGTAGGATTACGGTAACATATTGCTGAGTAGTTTTAAACCGAAAGAAATCCACTATTTAGTGCTCCCAGGTTTCGAGAATTTCTCTAAAATACGTCAATTAGTGATGGAAATTACCTTTGAATATTTATGCACTTGCATAATTCAAATGGGTATGAATTTTAACACGCAGTTATTTAAATATATGAAACTAGACACAAAAACTACTAGTACAAATTATTTATTCTTATGTATACTCAAGAAAGTTAGTGAATGCCATCAGAATGTCACACATAAAAAATTGTTCAACAGGCAGATAAAACGAATTCTTTAGTAAAAAAAACCCAGTTGGTTTGAGTTAGGAAACTGAAAAGCTGTAATCACAACTAATACACGTCACATATAATGTTATTGAAATAGGTTAAAGAGTAGCGCTTTTGTATCTGGACCAACTACAGAGCATGAGTTCCGTTACAAAAATGAAACTACTACAGCTTAGATACAAAAAGTAAATGGGTGTCAAATAAGGTTCCCTTACAAGCAATCAAGAAAATCTACTGATATGCAACAATGTCCTAAGCAAACAATTCAATTATTATACATACAAAAAAAATAACGTACTTGGGGTGTAGGCAGCTTCGGTGTTAGCAATAGGACCACCTACTGGAACTTCGCCAGATTTCAAGCATTTGCTGATGTAAACGGCCTTCCATTTGGCATACTTCCTGGTCTTTTCGATCTATCATTAAAAAAAAGTATATCACCGGATGAGTAAATGATAGCTCACATCATCACCTACTTCTCCAACTCCAGAAACAACGTCTAAGAGTGTAGCAGCTGAAAGAAATAATTTTACAGTAGCACTTAAGCCTGTTAAAAGATTATATCATACGTACGGTCCGAAGTCGCAGTTTATATCCCTCTGGTAAGCAGCATCAAACAACTTGAGGGCATACTGTTCAACATAAGGAATCCCAACAGTTTCATTCGCAATTTCTTCACAGTTAGAATTATTTTTCTTCAATTCTTCTAACTTATCCATGAGAGTTGTCAAAAATGCCTTGATAGGGGGTGATTTTTGAGTCATACTTAAACCTTTTTGAAATGCATGCAGGAGACCTGAGGAATCATATGTTGAGACTAATTGAAAAACTTACAGTAGTATGTGATAATGGGATTTTTCGCCGAATGATCCGAAGCACATCTTAAGAACACGTTCAGATGGGAGAGTTCTTTCGGTACATTTGAAAAATTCATTATTTACAGCTGGAACTGGTAATGCAAGGGGGCAATTGTGATTGTGTAATCGGAAAAAATTAGGGTTTTATATATCACAGAAATGTTATTTGGACAACATTGGAGATGAAACTAACCCGTATCTAATCCCGAGGTAAAAGTAATGACAGAATAAAGTAATAAGATCTTTAGAAAACCCAGAGATATTATTTCAATACGATATGAAGCGAACTAAGAATTAAAAATAATACTAGTTTTTGATTTTAGAGAACTGAATAACCTAAATGAACACAAAGGGAGAATGAACTCAAGGGTAACATGAAGGCAATTGCCCCCAAATGCCCTGGTATGGCCGAGAGTAGGGAGAGTCCACTCTCCCTCTCGAAATGCTCTCACATGGCCACGCGTATATAGCCTCTGCCAGGGAAGTCCTACTCACTGCCTTCTCGTGGTGGGGGTGTTGTTTACGAAAATGAGAGGACGAAAAGCGAATGTCCGGCGCGTTAACCGGATTCAAAATCAATGGTGCACATGGGCTTCAGTATACTGTGGGAACAAATGGAGTATGAACCAATTGTTGGTCACCGGCTTCCATGGGACTGCATCTCCTCACGATGCTCCACTGTCTTGTGGATCAGACATTGAGGTCGAAGGCTCGGGGAGTGGCCCCCTAAATAAAACCACCTGCTTCAGTTTGGGCACCCGAGCAGTATCACAGCCCTAACACATGTCGAATGAGGTTTGTGTGGCGCATATATATTTGGTGCCTCTTTGTACCAATATCTATGTGTTGAAATAAATAATAAAATAATCAGAAAACATTGGTTGCAATTGCATGACGCCATGAAAATGGCGAGTAAAGTCACTTGTGTGTTCGCGAAACGTCCCGCTTATAAGCACTGGGTTTCTTCAGGCTCCTTACAACTCGTCGAAGTCCGTCGGTCTACTCCGGGTGACAGTGAGTTTGACCACAAACGAAGGATGTTACGTAATGAAACTGAGAAAAGCTTGCGTAAGGACCAAGAAGCCTGGTGGTCGAAGCGTGCTAATGAGTTGGAAGCAGCAGCTGCATCTGGTAACTACCGGAAGCTCTTCCAACTCATCCGAGCCACTGGCAACAAGAAGTCTGATGTGATCGAAACAATCTGTGAAGATGACGGGATGCCAATCACTAGCATCCACCGACCTCCTGGACTATGGGCAGAGTTTTTCGAGAGACAGTTCAGCTGATCTGTTGCTGCGGCAAAATCGATCAAACTGCCCTGCTCTCCATACCCTGTGACGACTGATACACCTAACAAGGCGGGAGTCCTCAAGGAACCCCGAATCTTAAAGCGCTACAAATCACCAAGTTCAGATGACTAACTTCCTGCCCTATTTTAAAGATCATAGTGACTTTCTGGTTAAGGAACTGCAACGTTGTTTAGGAAGGTCTGGGAGCTAGAGAGTGTACCAACGTCATGGAATGAGTCGATAGTTATTCCTATCTTTAAGCAGGGTTCTGAAACAACTATCGGGGGATAATTCTATCTCCGATCGCATCCGAACTGTTGGCTTCTACCATACTTCGTAGGTTGTTCAAAAACCGAGAACGATTAGCTCGCAAGGAGCAGGCTGGTTTTCGTTCTGGTCGAGGATGCATTGATCATATCTTCACCCTTCACCAAATGTTGGAACACCATCATAGTAGTATTTTTTGACATTAGGGTAGCCCTCGATTCGTTAGACAGGACCGTTCTCTCGGTCAGAATAGAAGCCAGTGGCGATCCTGCTGTAACCTTATTTTACTTTCTTCATAAAAAGTGGTTGTATCTTCCTTAACTGAAAGGATTCCTTCTGGTTGTACATTTCCGTTTCCCCCATTATTACTATTATTTTTACAATTGCACTGCCTTACACTAGTCTGTTCGTTAGTTTTTTTCTCTTCGAATTCTCATTGTTTTGTATGGCGCATATATATTTGGTGCCCTATTGTACCAAGATTTCTGTGTTCAAATGAAATAAAAATCTCTAGATAGTATACTTCAAGGTAGTCAAAAATAGTACGATCAAGGATTTGACGGAGAGCCAGGGTTGTAAAATCAGTGTAGTTTGGTGTGGGATTTGGGCAAAACAGGAGTGTATATTTACTAGTGTTTATAACACTCCTCACAAACTCTACTAGTTGTATCCACGTTTACTAAAATGACTTAAATTAACATTCAATAGCTTAATTTGGACTATGTATTAAGCTGGGCACTGTGAAGCTTCTACTGATTAATGGATAACAGTTACAAAGCGGGTATTGGTTGTACAGTCTGAGGTGTTTTGGTTCTTCTGCGTTGAATTTCATGTTCTCAACTCAACGTGTGTGTTCGGGATGTTATAGTCATAGGTATACTTTCTTATTATTAATGTTCATCAACCAAACTTAATAATGATGAGAAAAAGTCTCGCCTTGTTATTTATGGTGGTTTATTACTACTTATGGTGCAGACACGTATATTAATCGAAATCCAGATTTGAGTTTCCGATTTTATTAGACTTTCTTAAATTCTAACCTGCAGATAATATTGGTGAGATGGAAAATTTAGTCCGACCAACTTAAGGGAACTATCGTAGGAGATAAACTTTATTTAGCTAACATGATATAAACTGCAATTACGTAAATTTTGTGTCGACTCATATTATTATTGTGGAGGATTTTTTTATTTGCCAAATGTGTAATTCACATAATACATGAAACTAGTACAATAATATATTGTTTTCAACTACTGATTGGTCTGAGATATGTTGATCTGAACCACACTTTTCGACATACAGGATTTAGGCTTACATACTGACACTCACTTAAGGTTATGCTATATTGAGTGAAGTGATATTTGGTTTCGTTAGACAAAATTACGGTAGAATTTGTCGTTATTTATTTAACCACATAAATATTGGTACAAGAGGGCACCTAATATATATGAGCCACACAACTCACTTGATTTGTGTGAGGGTTGGGATACTGCCCAGGCGTTACCGTGCTACCAGAAAGTACGTAAAATTACTGAAGAATCTTTACTAAAATGTCGTAAGTTGTCTCAGATTTTATGATAAGTCATTTGGAATGACCACATCAAGTGGTATAAGTCAAGGGTGGCAACGTCCTCCGTCACAGATACACTAAGAAAATAATTCGCACGACGTTTTAGAGACAACTCTTAAACAAAGCCAGAACAAACATAGATACAGGATATGAATTTATTGTGTCGTGGTTTCTCACCGGCTCCTTACGCCCCCTTACCTGTAATCTCATTTGGCGATTTAGAACATTTTCTTATTGCGCCAAAAATTCAACACAACTACCACGCAAAGTACTAGGAGATAGGTTACGTACCCAGTAAACACACCTGGAAATAAGCTGGTGTAGTATTAAATAATACTCCAGTGGCAATGTTTTCTGGATTTTCAGCAAAAACAAGATCTAGTATCTGCCTGAATGCAATCCGTACACTGAAAGTTTTAATACTAAATTATAATCCGTGAATCATATGTTGCATCACCTACGTAAGTGGTGGTACTCGATAAGTCTCCGTGGCCACGTGGCATCGCTACACCTTGAAAGGTGTGACCTTAAGCCCAAAATATAAACTTGTGCCTAGCTTCCGAGTATCAATACGAGATGCAACTTTCCACATCAACTTATATATGGACTAAGAACCATAACTATGCGTACAGATGATCGTGATGTCATAAGAAGTCCATCCATTTTAAAATAACCGCATTTTCATATCCTTAACGGCGGTAGGGTGCGAGAAATGGAGATCCTTAAAAAGGGAAGAAACATCAATGAATGAGTTTTCTGTGACAACCGGACGAAAGTTATTATCCCTTCTACACGAATACGTGTGGCTAATATATCTTATTATGAACCAAAGAAAACCGAAGTGGTGACGAGCAATAAGAATAGACAAGTATTTAAAATCTATAAGCATCTCTAAACATCGCAGATCTTTATGGCAAATACTTTGAGGAAAAATACACACAACGCACCTGACACAAAGGCGCGCCTCTCAATGACCAATATCCCAAACAGATTTGATGAAGCTGATAAGATTTTGGACCAATTCTTGTTGTTCTAGTATGATAAAAGGTCTTTGATAATGCTTGCTGGTCTGTGGTCTGACCACTCAACTGGTAGTGTTTTATTTGTTTTCAGTGTTATTTGTTGAGTATGCCTCTTAGCATAGGCCGCCCACCAGTATTCTCCATCCACCTCTGACCTGGGGAATTCTTTCCATTTGCAGTTCAATGTATGAATTCTAGATGATGTTGATGATTTTATCAAGTACACCATATTATTGAAAAATATTACATAGTGTTCTCCTATACACGTTGTCAAATGCTTTCTCACAGTCAAGAAATTTAATGAATAGTGACGAGTTCCATTCACTTGATTATTCAACACTGACACGTAGTGTCACGATTTTGTCTGTGCACGACCGGTATTTACGGAATCTGGCCTGTTAACATCGAAGTTGATCGTCCACTGAATCTTTCGTCCGATTCAACAACGCTGTTGAAAATTTTTCTTGGCTCTAATAGTAGCGTGATTTATTTGTAGTTCTCATGCTGGCTACGATCTTTCTTTGGTATCCAGACGAGGTATTACGTTCTTCCCTATAAATATTTCTGGACATGATATGCAACATACTTGCGGCTAACTGTATATTTAACTTCAGTGCTTCGTTTGGTATATCGTCGGGTCATGCCGTTCTCCTACCTTTGATGGAGTGACATATATCGGAGGTCTGTCTGTGCTGCTCTGATGTCCAGTGTATTTGTAGAATTATGGTGTACTATGATATTAGTACTGCCCTAATAATAGACCTAATCCTAAAATTGTAGATTTGTCATGATATAACTGCCTAATCTATAAGATCTTACGCGGAAGTCACATCATCGTCTACACCAGCTCACTGTATCGTAACAACTAACAGTACATGACGAAGAAAAAGCTTAGGCTAGAGAAAGAACGATATATTTAACATGAATAAAAGATATAAGATAATATTCAGCAAGGATCACGCCTGCATGGCCGAGCCATGCCATTCAATCAACTTCAATTCATTCAATTCCTTGTTCGGTCTGTGACTTGATCATCACCGTTATTGTTCGGCTGTTGTTGATTGCCGTCTTCTTGTTCATCATTTCCTGAGTCTTTTCCAGGGTTTCCATAAAGGTTGAAGATGCCACAAGTATTTGGAGTTTGACAACGCTTTAACCAGTAACACCTAATACGAATCGAACCCATCAAATGAAATCAAAAGACAGAAGTGAAGAGGTCCGAAGATATATTTGATACGCTATCAATATATAGAGGGTCGACTGATCTAGACTGGCTAGCGATTTCAGGGGTTGTTGAATACTACATTCCCACTCGTGATCTGGTGCGAATGCATGACCGATCACCTTCAGCTGGGTGAGTCCATTAAAACTAATGTGGTCAGCATTCAATGTCGAAGACTTGCAGAGCTATTCATTTTGGGGATTTATCTACCTCTACATGGTTCATTCCTTATGATGATGCTTCTTGTGGTTCAGAACCTCCTGAAGCTTTGAAGTTAGTGCTTTTTCGATCCCTTCTCAGTTGTCCTCCATAGCAGTTTCTTCTTCTTTCAGTAGATCCCATAAGGCTTGGAACCTTGTCAATATGTCGACGGAATGTTGCATTGGACCTGTGTGATGCTGTTTCAGCAGCTTTTCGGTGCTTCCTTAGCCTCATTTTCATCTTGGCAACCACCAGCTAGTGGTGATCTGAAGTTACGTTAGCTCGTCTCCCGGTCCTCACGTCTTCCATTGATCTTCCAAATTTTTCGATGATGCAAACATGATCGATCTGGTTCTTTGTACTGTGATCCGGTGAGACCCATGTGATCTTGTACATGCGTTTGTATGGTAAAATGAGGCCGCCTATAACCATTTTGTTGAATGCACATAAATTTGCGAATCTCTCACCATTCTCGTTCCTTTCTCCCGGTCAGCTCATGTCGTCTCATGACATCTTCCTATCCTCTGTTGTCCTTCCCGACTTTGGCGATTGAGTCTCTTATCAGGATGGTCAAGTCCTTTACTGAGCATTTCGCTATGATCGATTGCACCTCTCATCAAACTGACCTTTATCGTCGTCGTTGCTATGGTTGGTGGGTGCACAACAATGGGTAATATTTATTATGATACCCCTCGTCTTTGTTTGAAAGATGCTTTGACGATCCTGGATCCGAGAGATCCCCATTATATAAGTGCTTTACGTGCTTCTCCTGAAAGCATCAGAACAAATCTCTAAGTGTGTGCAGCATCTTCTTCTTCGTCACTAGAGTACAGCAACATCCCTACCGAGTCTATCTTTTCCTGTCCACACTGGGTTCAGTCGGTTTCACTGATTCCGAGAACCGTCAAGTCGTATTTCCTCATTTCTCATTGGTCCACTCAGTCTCCCACATTGTCCGAACATTCCATGTACCTATATTAATTGTTGCTGTGATTGTTAGAAAGGGATTCTGTCTCGTGACTTCCGAAGGATCTCGGCTTTTGCCATAAGGTGTCATAAATCTTCGGATAGAAGATCATTCAACTCAGATATCGGAGTTCAGGTGGTTTAATTTGCTTATTCTGGTTAGCGTATTTTTAGCAATGCTATTTTGTATGGGATGTGGTTGCTGACCTCACTCCCAACCCTCCCTATATATGTGGGCGTTGGGATGTGCAGAAAAATATACCAATAATTATCATGTTAAGTCTAACGGTGTCCTTGAACTTTAAATGTACATTCCCTATTGGTCGATAATTATTTTACTTGTTAAATATTGTACAAATGTTGTTTTCTATTTTATGGTACGATGTGGTTTGTTTGGTTGGTATATAAACAGAGTATGTCTGAAATATAATGATTCATAACTCAGAGGCTGAGATTTATGTTCTGGACTCAACTGGCTGGGATAAACAGCGAAACAGGGCCAATCGGGACTCTAGGTCGTTCGTACGTGTTTTACGTGTCATTGATCGGATCGATAATACGCTGCTCATCTAATCTGCAGTCCACACGTTACAACAGTGGGCCTGGGACCTACAGTAACCCTAGAACAGACACGGGCGTCGTTATTTGTGGGTGTGTGTATTCCGTAATCTGAGAGCATTTGACTGAAGGAAGGAGGGATTCTGAATTATGTGTAATGAAGAACCCTATCTGTTGACTGGGATTGCTGTTGGAGTATATCCCTCGATGAGATGGGTGTATATTCTCATCTTGATTAGTTTCTCAACAACTGCGAAAGCAACTATGCTCACACGCTAGGACATCAAAGCACCAATAAGTTTTTCAGTAGACGCATCCGACTCGGCAAACGGAGGGGTCTTAAAACAATGGGTAAACAACATGTGACAATCTTCGGCATTCTTCACGAGACGATTGCATGACACTGATACGAGGTATAGCACTGTCGGTAGGGAACTCCTAGCCATATTTTGTTCGCTACAGCACTTGCAACACTGAAGAAAGCCGAGAATTTACTGTGTTTACTAATCGCAAACCTCTCACCTTCTCTCTCAGATCTTCAGACAAGTACAAACAAGTACGACCACCTACTAATCACAAGTAAATGGGTTCGTAGAACACAGTGGACTGACGCTCTTCCATATGTTTTACTCGGTATTCGCAATTCAGTGGAAGCCGACATTTGATACACTGTAGCATAAATCATATACCGAACAACACTTCAAATCTCGAGAGGATTCGCCAACCTTTATCATCTCCAATGAATATAAATCTAAACAGCTACACGAGCATGCTTACAAACTCCATGCGTTCAATTAAACCTGTTTTCATTTACCACAGTCGTCCAATGTTCTCACTCAACCTGCCCTACAGCATGGAACACATGCTTTTGTACGCCGCGACCCACTTCGACAACCTCTTGAGATCGCATACGAAGGACCCTTCAAAGTCCTTCATTGTTCACTTATATACTATGTCATCGATAAAAAAGGAACTTAAGGTAACGTCAGCATTGTCCGTCTTAAAGTCACGTTTTTAGAGGCGAACCCCGATGATGTTGATTATCCAATAGTACAGTCGAAGGACACGAGCCTCAAAATTACGATATCTCACACGACAATTGACTATCACAAAGTAACTTTAGTGGTATCTGACAGCCGGCACAAAACGACGTGCTCTGGAAAAAGGCTAAGGTTTCCAGAGCACTTAAACGATTACTTTACGTTGAAGAATAGTTTTTAGATGGAATAAATGTGACTGATACATCACTATCCGTGTAATGCAAAACTCTCTGTAGCTGAGATTCTCGCCAGTGAAAGTTGAGAATATAGGAGACGACAAGTTACTCTGTATTTTGATGCTATGTATATACTACAATTTATCCATATTCCTAAAACGTAATACGCAAGTAGGATTTCTGTGGATACAATAGTGCTCAGGAAGGAAATGTATACGCTGCAAATATCAAAAAATGATTTGGAAAATGGTGCAGGACAATGTTTTTCTTGTGACATGTGGTGTCCCAAATTGGATACTGATACAAAATGTGCCACACGCTAACCTCCCAACTGAGCTAGTGAAATGAACTTGTCCTTTTGATCACTTCTGATTACCACCGATTGACCTAATTAGGCTAATTCTGGTTGGCTCTCCACATCATCTTTCCCTCCTGAAAAATAAGTCTTTTTCCTTGGATTCGACTAGAAGCGTTGAGGAAAATGTGGACGTTTTTGACGATTTTCTTGTGGTCTGGCCTTTAATTCTTCCGCTCCGATCCCGATGCTCTGAACTAACTGTATCAAATAAATAATTTAGTTGGATGTTCCAGTTGGGAGGCTCTTTATCTGAACTTAATCGTCTGCCACCGATGTGATTTACATGTATCTCATTAGAAGACTGGTGTACAGTTCTCTTGGCCTTGTGTTTATAATTTCGTCTCCCTCTTTGTGAATATATGCTATCAAGTCAGACTCTTCCTTTCGATCATTGACTCAGCAGGAGAGACATCGTTGGGTG